GTCTGTCAGTCATAATTCAGGTCTGAACATCAGTCTCTGGGGTCTGGTATTAATATGAATCCACTTGATGAATGTGGTGACATTTGTAGTAAATAAGTCAGGTAGAAATAGCCTTGTATTCATCCTGAATAGAATAGTGTCAAAAGAGTATATACCCACCTCCTACCCAAATGTCTCTATTTGCCCAGGACCCAATCACCCTAATGGTAGCCCTTCAAAGTAATTTTGAAAAAGCAATAAAGCAAAATAATATTTTAGAAAACACATTTGGTTTCAATGCTGATGGGATTTATTGTTCAAGTTTCTGAATCCTATTGATTTTTCTGAAGTAATATCTAAAGCAAACTGCAAACTGTTCTGATTTTCTTTTTCTTTCTTTTTCCCAAGTTATGTCACTTGGCAGCTTCACAAGACCCAAGCCTGAGAGGGGGTCTCACAAAGAGCAAAAGACCCAAACACACCGTGGGGGCACAAGATTGGCCCAGAGTTGACCCAAACAGAGATCTGGGCCACATCTTCCCTTCCCCCATGCCCCTGGAGGGTCTAATTTTAGTCTACTGCATAGACTGCAATGACAGGAATATGTTGCAAGAGCAAGAATCAAGCAAAAGAGAAAAAAAGGAAGCCTAATGTGGCAGGAGGCATTTTAATGCCATGGCAACTGGGGTGTCTTCTCTCTTATTTCATTCACTTCCTCGGTCAGGTTATTCTGCCCTCTCTCTCCTGCACTTCCTGTTGCCGTAATCAAATCAAACCAGGTCACCCTGCATTCGTGAGCCCTCTCCCGACTGCAGACATCTATTTCCAGCAGAAGGAATTTTCGCCCTGTCTCCCTTTGCTCCCGGACCTCTTTGGGATGCCCTTGATGTTCCTGCTTTCGCTGCACTCCCAGAGCGGCTGCTGCAGATGCCTCCCTTTCATCCAGCCTCCTCCCCCATGCCCTTCTCCCCTTGCTGCTCCTCTCCCTGCCCCTCCCCCCAGCTCCTGCAGTTGTCACTAAGTCTGTTAGCCACTTGATTAGTGACTCAGTGATTCAGAGTCCCACAACCTTGGACTGCAATCCCCACGCCCTCCTTCAGTGGGTCAAGGTAAAGGGCCTTTTCGGGGACTCCCATCTCCCTGCATAAGAAGAAGTGACTGGAGACTTGAGTGCTGTCAGGGTTGCCCTGACTCCTTCCCCTTCCCTTTTTCTGCCCCCTCCCTGGGCTTCCATGCTCTACTTAGCTTTCCCTGAGGAAGGCAGCAGAAAATGTTTGAGCTTAGAATTTATGTAGCTCAACATCCTCATTCGCAGATGGAAAGACTAAGGCTCAGGGAGCTTAATGGCCCAGTTGCTCAGTGAGCTCTTGGCAGAACCAAAACGCATAAGGTGCAAATTCAATCCAACTGGCGATTGGTGGGAAATAAATTTTTATTAAGGAGTGAGCAGTGCCAAAATGGGACTTGATGACTACTTGAGAGTTCCTTCGCTGTCCTTGTCTCCTTGTGGGTAATATGGGCAAATGGTGCAAACCCAAGCCAGAGTACTGACCAGAAATTTACCAGGGCACCTGGAAAGGCCCTGGTGAGACTCCCTAAAGCTGAGTCAGGAACATGCAGACATGGGAGACTCTATGCTTGGGGTCCTCCAGGATTTACCCATGTGACAGGATTAGCAGTCACAAGAGCCAATTCCAGTGAATCCACCTTTACTAAGTCTCCCCATGGGCTCATCTGCACAGCCGTGAACGGACAGACTTGCTTCCCCTAAATGTAGAAAGGTGCAGAAAGTACAAAAAGCTCACAGAAATATACTTACTGCAGGTTACATCAGTCTCTTAAGTAAATGAGTCGTGTCAGTTCTCTGTGGAAAGACATGGGTGGTAAAATGAATCAAATTAACTCAGTATCCTGATTGCTTGCTGCAATGGCAGAGAAACTTCTGTTTCCCAAGCTGAGTCTGAAGGGAGGGGACATATGGTTGGATGCAGTGATCATCGGATATGGTGGAAGCCAAGCCAGCGAAGCTCAGAAAAGTCACTCTGCAGTGTCAGTCTGCAGGCAAGGCCCTGGGCAGGGCCCAGATGCTGGAATCCTGGGCAGTGCTTTTGGTCCCTGGCTGGGCTTGTCCTGGCATGCTGGGATCTGCCAGTCAGGAGCTCAGCCACACTGCTGCCAGCTGCAGTCACTACCGCTGCTGCACACTGTTTGTGATTAAGAGCTTTATTGATTTTCTTGCCCATGACCACGTTGGTGGGGACAGAGTACGACACGAGAAACTGGTGGGAAGCCAAGTGGAAAGAGGGTTTATGAAATGAGCTCTCAATGAAGGAAACTGTGGGGAAGGATGTGATGGAAGCAGATTTGGGGCCAGTGGAGGTGGGAAAGTAGAACAACTCTCCAGTCTTGAGCCAAAACAAAGCACTTTGCCAAAACACARGCAGAGGAGCTAGTCTGTGAGAGAGACTCAGTACTGTTTATATAAAACAGGATATTCCTATCTGCAAAATCATTGCTGACAATGCTTAACCCACATTCACTACCAACCACTGTGTTGGGTTCTGGGGCTATAAATAAGAATCAGTCCGCCTAGGGAAGGAGACTCAGAACATACGCAAAATGACTTGTAAAGATGCTAGTATTTTTTAAGGGAGTCATAAAACATTTTGCCTAAACTTTGGGCCCAGAGCCAACAGATATGACTGATGAAGGATGAGAGATGGGACYGTCTGGCTACTGCCTGCCTCACCAGCAGATCTGGTGAAGGTCTTCAGGTGGCTTTTCTGCCCTAGTTGCTTCCCAGCAAGGCCCTAGCTGCTTCCTAGCCCAGCCCCTTGGGGGTGTATAGGAGGTCATGCTGGGTCCCAGGTGTTCTCAAAGCAGCAGATGGAAAGGCACTGGACAGAACCACACCAAGGGGACAACAGATGGACCTCCTTCTCTGAACCTAAAGACAGAGGCAGGACACTTGACAGATTCTACCCCACACATATACCCACTCATATGAACCTGTATCTCTGAGAGCTTTCCTCCCATCCACCCTCCCCTACCCTGTATCCTTAAGTATAAGGGGATAAATTATTTTCGCTTCTTCCTTTAGCTTTCAGTATCATTTTTGCCCCTGGAAATAAACTGGGAACAGGGGAAGATGAGGCTCTGGTGTGTTTTTGTGTATCAGTACAATAAGAAAAGCAGTGATATATAAAAATGGAAAATTTTTTTAAAATGTCACGTAACTCAAAATCAGGGAGTGACCAAGATCAGTGAATGTCAACTTAAAAAAATTAAAATCTTGTACATGTGGTTCACATTTGAACATGGCATGACCTGGGATGGCCCTTTCATCATTCTCTGCAAGAATGCCTCTCCCTGTGAAGGCCTGAGGCCCGAGTATCCCCACTGGAGGACTTTATGGAGGTCAGCCCTCAGCAGAAAGATTTCAGGGAGGTCTAACTAAGCTGGAAAACCTCAGAATGGTCTAACCTGAGCCAGAGGGCCCCAGAATGGTCCAGCCCAAGTTAAAGGTCCTCAGAATAGCCAAACCTAAAACCCCAGGAAGCTTTAGAGTACAGTCTGAACCTCTAGCAGTCAGGAGGAGGAATTCAGGTATGCAGGGGTGACAGGTTGGCTTTGCAGTTAGTGTCCTAACTCCTGCATCAGGATCCACCCCTCTTTCCAAAAGTCAGAGGGCTGAGAAGCCTGGGGCAGTGGCACAGGGCTACTGTCCCAGCTACTGTGGAGCCTGAGGCAGGAAGATTGTAAGTTTGAGGCCAGCCTGGGCAACTCAGTGAGACCCCGCCCCCCCCCCCCCCCGTTCAAAATTAAAACAAACAAACAAAACTACTTTAAGGGCTGGGGGGATAGCTCAGTGGTACAGCACCCAGCATGCCTGAGGTCCTGGGTTCTACCTCCACTACCCTCCCACCAAAAAAGCCGAGGTGGGAGAGGGGAATTTGAGGCCCTAAAATTCCTGGCAGTTGATGGGGTTAATATCCCTAGCATTGTTCTCTTTTTCACTGAGGAAAAATTKAATTAAAAAAAAGAGAGAGACAGCCAGCAATACTCATTTAAAAACAAAAACAAAAAACTGGCATTCAAGCACCGAGCCAAAAAAAGGAGTGGTCTCCTGGGTGATGGAAGTACTTGGAAATCTCTAAAGCCTCGTTCATTGTTCAGAAAACAAAATGGAACAACTTTCCTCGCTCCCCGCCTCACCCGCTTCCTCTCGGTGCAGTAGCTGTTCTTGGCAGATGCCCAAAGCGGCACCCGGTAATTCCACGGTACATTGTGTACATTTGCATCCATTTAACCCGCTATTTACTGCCGCCCTTTACCGCCACCTGTAAGAGGCAGCACCATAATGACACTGTGGATAAGGGGCTGGGCCGTGAAGTGGGTGCCCAGTGGTTTTCTCCACTCGAAGGCGCCTGAATCTGTGAAGTAGTTGGCACTTGGAGAAGCAGGGACAGCTGGGGACAGCACACGTACAGGACGGGAAGCGCGAGAAGGAGGCGCGCCAGACGGAGGGTCCTTCCTCGTTAGCTCCGCTCGGTGGCTCCTTTTCCATGACTACAACCGCGAGGAGGAATCTGCCAAGCCCTCGGTGCGGCTAGTTTCCTGCCTGATAAAGAGCCTGCTGCTGTTGGTATTCGTTGCGTTTCTGAATCACCCCAGGGCCTGACGCTCCCAAGGAAGGTGGATCCTGGGGGCGCTGGGGTGGGACCCGCAGTCTGGCGGAATCCAGGCGGGATGACACCCCCTCGAGTCTCGGAAACCGGCTCGCGGGTGCGATGCGGGGCCGTACGGGCACCTGCGCTCTTGTGCCTGTCGCACTGTGCAGCTCCGGTGGCACACCGGGTGACGCGGGGGCGAGGGCGAGAGGAAGTCGAGGCGCCGGGGCGGCAGCAAGGCTTCCTCGGCTTCCCTTGAGCTTTGGAGGTTGTCCCGAAGTGCGGGGAGGGAGGGGGCACTGCACTGCGGAGTTCCAAGTTGCGGGAGACCCCCAGAGGGCAGGTACCCTGCGGTCCTGAGTGCACGTGAGAAGCCCCGAGCTGCCAGGACCGTGTGGCACGCTCGGAGCGCGCAAAGTCGCGCAAAAGCAAGAGATAAAYGCCGAGGGGCCCAGGGACCGGTTGGCTGGGGCACGGAGTCAGCACGGCCCCGGAGCGCCTTTCGTTTTAAGGAGCCTTACTTCTGGGAAGGGACAGGGAACTGTCAATCAGCGAGGGAGGGAGCGCACCGGCGCTGGGTGATGTCAGCGGATCAGCTGCTCGATAACAAAGAGGGGGTATCACAGGAGAAAGTTGCAGCGGCGGCGGCCACCGCGGCACCCCGGAGCCTCGGAGGCCAGGGGCAAGTGGGCGAAGGGAGGGGGGACGGCTGCTGCGGCAGCAGCTGAAGGCCGAGGAATTGAAAGGGCTGTAGGGGGAGGCAGTGCGAGCCAGCCCCGACTGCTCCTCCTCTTCCTCCTCCTCCTCCAAACTCGCAGGGCTCAGCCCCAGCGCTCGCTCAGCCGCCGGGAGCACCCRGAGGGACGGGAGGCAGCCGCGCGGCCCCGAGCTGGGCAGGGTCCCCGGCCGCCATGGATAGCGACGACGAGATGGTGGAGGAGGCAGTGGAAGGTACAAGCATTTCTCCGGGACCGGGGAGGACACTCCTAGGGCCCGGAGCGCCGAAGGAGTGGCGGGCTGCGACCTGCGCGGTGCCGGGCCCCGCGGCAGCCACTGTCCCCTACGCGGGTGGCGGGCCGCCCTGATCGGGCGGGGGCAGGACAGCTACGGCCACGCTGCCGGGAGCTCACCGTTCGCGGCGGGGCGCAGGCCGGGAATGGGGCTCACTGGGCCGGGGGCCCTGGGAATGCACAGTGGCTTCATCCCGCCCGGCCACAGCCGGCATCCTCCCTTGGAGTTGCTAACCTGCCCTGCACTCTGGCCTTTCCCCTCGCGGGGATGGAGGGTAGGGTACCCTGGAGGTCAGCGACCTGRTTGTCCCCGCGGAGCAACCCCCCAGTGCAGTTTGGGCAACCTGGATTCCCTCTCCGGCCACTAGCCCTTTGCTTCCGTTCGCCGCTGCGCCCCGCGGCCACCGCGGCCGCCACCGGGTGGGTCCCCCAGCGCCGCGCACCGGGCCGAACCTGGCACGTGGCGGCAGCGGCGGCTCCTCCAAAAGGATGAAATCATGGCAGGGTACTGGACCACGCTTCCGACCCCGGGCTCGATCGTGCGAGGTCGGGGAGGCCGGTGGCCCTCCCTTCTGCTTCCCGGAGCGAACTCTGTCAAGCCCCCCTCCCCCTTCCTGCTTCCGAGCCGGGGTGTCGCCGCCGCCGCCACGCTGTGCGGGCGCGCCGCAAACCCCGACCGAAATTGCTGGGTGACACTTAACTTTCTGAATTCCTTGCAGTTGGCTGTGGGTGATATCACCACCGCGGTGTCGTGTTTCTCCGCCCCTTCTCTTCTGCCGCCCCTCCCCCGACTTTCCTTGCCACTTTGTTTTGCTGAGTTTCTCCACCTCTTTTTTGCTAGTTCTGAAAAACGCTGTGGGGACGTTATACAATCTCGTTGTTTGTGTCATCAGATGTTATGATTTTGTAACACTGAATACTGGAAAATACTCTTTAGCGTATTTATTTGATCCTACCCTAAACCGTGCGTCGTGATGTTTTGCAATGTTGTGTGTGGTATTGTTCCAGAATATTTTAAACAGCATCCCAGCAAATAATTTTTAGCTATTGGTTGAATCTGGTTTCTATCTAATTTGTATAAACAAATTCTCACAAACAATTAAAAACTAAAGTGKCAACGCTTTACAAATGCATAAGGATGCATGGTCAGTGCTACAGTAGGAAAAATCAAATTTTATGATTTCATAAACATAATTCCTATTGCAGTGCTCTTGAAGGAGATTAATCAGAGTGATATTTATGAATTCTCCAAAAGGTATTCAATCTGATGTAAATATTAAAACTTATTATTTTTTTCATCTAGGTTCAAAGGCAATTAGTATGCTTTTTAACTTTAGAAAATTTTCACAATGTTGTGAACTCAGAGCTTGTACCCCTTAAGTAAACTTAATGTTGGAACTTAGTGGGACCCAAAGGCATTGATTGAGTTGGTCCACAAGTCTTTGAATTAAGTTACTGACTTCTTCTGCCTCTGTCATGGGGGGRAAAAATGCTCTTCTCAAATTAGGGCTTGTTAGGGTTTACTCTTATTCCTCAAAGTTTACTTTTACTTTTTACTTGTGAAAACCCTGATCACAGATTAAGCCTCCTTCCCCTGTGGTCCTGGGGGCCTTTTGCAGAATGTTAAGGAGGCTTTCAACATGGATCTGTGTTGTTTTTGAGATCATCTCCTGGATTAGAAGCAGGGAAGTTTCCTTTTATCACCGGGGAAGGCAGTTATACAGGTTGAGCATATACATTATTGTCCTAAATCAGAACACTCCTGAGAGCAAGAGTGGGCACTATTAATAATTATGCTGGGACAACTGGCTTAAACCTTGACTATCTTGGGCAATCTGGGACACACACTCAGTGGTACCTAACACTAGACAATTAGATTAACTTTAAATTTTTAGATTTTTAATTTATTTTTTTCCTGTGGTGCTAGGGATCCAACCCAGCGCCTGCTATGTAAATATTCTATCACTGAGCTACATTCCCAGTCCTRGAATAACTTTTGATCTTTAAAAGTCCTTAGAGAAGCCAGGTATGGTGGTGTATGCCTGAAGTCCCAGCTGCTCTGGGAACTGAGGCTGGATCACTTGACAGTTCTAGGCCAGCCTGAGCAACCTGGCGAGTCCCTGTCTCAATAAAATAAAATAAATAAATAATAATGAGTCGTCAGGCTCAAACTTGCAGGATGTCTAAAGCTGTGTTTGTGCTCCTGGCAAATTGCACCCTTGGGCCTTTCTCAGCAATTGTTGGCCTTTTTAGTGCTTGTGCAGTGGGCTCTGCTTAACATCTAACACAGGTATATGATATAAACTGTTTATGACCTTTTCCCAAAGAGAAACTAGTCTGAATATCTTGGTGTTCAAGTGCCAACTAATCTACCTCTCTCCATAAACACAGCCTCTCTGCTCAGAAGTTCATTGTCTTAGCTATTATTATCGTTGCTATAATTGTTTAGTTCTTATTATGTGGAAGTTCTGTGCTTAGTGTTTCGCACATATTATCCATGCAGTCTTATGAGACAGGTACAAATATTCTAATGTTACTGAGGAGGGGAAATGAGACATAGAGAAGAACTAATTCAAGGACATTTAGCAAGGGGGAGAGACAGGCTGGACTTCCCCTCCAATATACCAAACTGTCTCCCCACATATTTTTACATTTTTGTTCTATCAGTCAATTATATGAAGTACTTGGGTGTTTGAGTTGAGAAACAGCTAAATATTATGTCAACATTGCTCTTTATCAGAATAACTCTTCAGAGGTTTTTCTGTCAGAGTTTGGTGTCTCAGAATAATGCATCTGGGGGCTGGGGATGTGGCTCAAGCGGTAGCGCGCTCGCCTGGCATGCTTGCGGCCCGGGTTCGATCCTCAGCACCACATACCAACAAAGATGTTGTGTCCGCCGAGAACTAAAAAATAAATATTAAAAAATCTCTCTCTCTCTCTCTCTCTCTCTCTCTCTCTCTCTCTCTCTCTCTCTCTCCTCTCTCTCTTTAAAAAAAAAAAAAAAAAGAATAATGCATCTGGGAAAGATAATTTCATTTCAGCCTCTGCCACAGGAATCCTTTCTCCTCTCCCCTCCCCCATTAAAGTGTACCCTGGGGGAGAAACTGATCTCTTGAGGACTTGAGTTTAAATGTCTTGTGCATTATATACATTTTGGATCTCTATCAGGGTAGAATTGTAACCTAGTGAAGTTCTAAACTCAGAGTGAATGAACTCCCAAGGGGAAATGGGGGTGTCAGGAGGGAGCATTCTTTGCACCTCTGCCTGCCCTGCTCCTTTGGGTAAACAACAAGCTCTGAGACCCGGGGGCTGCACCTGAGCTCCTCTGTGACTTTTTATTTTTATTTTAAAWTTTTTATTTTTATGACTTCTGAGACAGGCGTCTTGCTGTGTTACCCAGGCTGGCCTCGAACTCTGGGGCTCAAGTGATTCTCTTGCCACAGCCTCTGGATAAGCTGAGATGAGGTGCATGTCACTGCTCCTTGTTCTCACTGTGGCTTTTTAAAACATGAAAAGTCTAGTTTGTTCAGTGAAGAGTGATGTTTAGCTTTTTCATGTGTTAGTTTTCATCAGGGGCTTTGGAAACATTTATTTTTCTATTTCTTTGTCCACCCATAGATGGAAAGAAAATGAATACAATGTAGTCCCTATTGGCAGTTTAAAATTGTAGCATGTCTACATAGATGGATCTCAGTGGTTCAGAGCAAGTGACAATTACTTGCAGCTTAGGGAAGTAGGGGGGGGAAGATTTCCCCCAAAGAGGTGGCACAGAGTTGAGTTGAGAGGGAAACTTTGAAAGCAAAGACATCCCACATAGAACTACTGGGGCCCATCCAGAGAATCATTTTGTGGGATCTGCTGTAATACTGGGCTTAGAAGGAGAGAAGTGGAGGGTGCCTGAGGGAGGGGAGCGTGGGTCACAGGACCAGATGATGACAGCTGGAGGCCAGGGAGCTACGGGGACCCTTTGGAGCTCTGCTTTGGGCAGTGGTAAGCAGGGGCACTGGGAGGGGCTGAATGGGCAGCTGAATGTCACCTCATAGGCCCCTTGCAATGGTCCAGGTGTGCAGTTATGAAGCAGGAAAAAAACAGGAAGCCCTGGAAACGCCTAGGAGACACCAAGGAAAATTGCTCAAAAGGGGAAAAGAGAATCCCCAGGACAAGGGACCAGGATGAAAATAGCCGCTCAGTGTTCCCCTAYCCAGCGTCCTCAAAACAGTAATATTTCTATTAACAGGCCACCCAATATCCTGTCCTGGCTTCTGTAATGAGACTGCCCACGCKGTGTTCCTAGGACAAACGCATGCTCAGTGTACTGGTAGCACCCTCTCCCTGTGGGCCACGTGCTGAAATTATGACCCTCACAACTCACAGTTGAGCTCTTGCAGTGAATTGCCCTTAAAAATCAAATTATATTTTTAACAGCCTGTGTGAGTGTATCATCAGGAAGGCTTTTTTTTTTTGCATTATTATTAAAATAAGCTTGGCTTTTATTATTACTACTTTTGGAGGGCTGTGCAAAACCAACAGTGTGTGGAAGGGTCTCTTGTTCTGAGGAAACCCACACTGCACTCCCAGATCCCTTGTGAGCCTGAGGCAGTCAGCAGCAGAGTCTGATCTGGAGGGAATTTCCTTTGCTGAGGCAAACATTGCTGGCAGAGTAGAGGCCTGGCTTCTATCAGGTTCAGGGGAAAAAAACCTCACTCAAAAGTAACTCAAGGGGAAATATTTAACTTTCTATCCATTCAGTAGATAATGATCTTTAGAACAAAATGAAAAAGTAGACTTGTGAAATTGTTGCTTTTTCTTTTCCTTTCTCTAATGCCTATAAATATTTAAAATCATGCTGCYGAGGGATATACGGTGGATTAGCTGGGGCAGCATTAAAAACACAGAGCAGTCATTCAAGTTAATTTCCCTGTCCTCTGGGCCTGGTGCTCCCTCTCTGTGTAGTGGAAACTGGCCTGGAAGGCTGTTGGCTGACCTGGCACATTCTGCAGACCCACCTCAATCAGAGCTGGGGGGACAGGAATTGACAACCTGGACATGCTGTTGAGAATCTCTGCAGTTCTAGGAGGGTTACCTTCTCTACCAGGGCCTTGGACACGCCTGTCTTTTGTAGTGACACCTTGTTCTATAGCAGCCAGGAAGAAAGAGTGCTCCATGCTCCTCCCAAGAGAAGAAGAATTGTTGGCCTTGGGGGAAGGGCTTGCAGCATTCATAGACAAGTCATGTGTCATTGGTGTCCTCAGCGGAAATCGGTGGAAATCTAGAAGATTGTTTTGAGGTTTAAAGTGATAACAGGAAGCACTTGATCTAGTGGGTTCTTCTTCTGTTTATCAACATCCTACTTCATTAAACTGACTCTTCGTAGGACTAGAGATGGGGTAAAAGGGGACAGAATTTGCTTGGCACACACAAGGCTCTGGGTTCCATCTCCCACACTGCAAAAACTAACTAAATAAGACTATCACTAACATGACAAAATATCATAAATCATATTGTCTAAAGGACATTTGAAATGAAATCATGCTGGAATCTCATAGAACTCATGCTAAAAGGAAATGGAGGGGCATAGCCACCCAATTTCTTATGTTCCCTGTGTTTATTTGTTTGGAAAAGTCTTTGTTGTTATTGTTTTGGTTGTTTTCTAGATGTAAAGTTCTACTGCTCAGAAAAATCCCCTGAGCTATTAAATATTCAGGGTGGAAGTCTTGAATGATCACAGCCTCTAATTTCTAATACTATTAGTTGATCACATCCTGACGATATGGGGGGAAAAAAAAAAACATAGCCAGTCAAGCGGGGCATCCCTGAGCAGGACTTGTGGGTGCACACCTGCCATTCCGGCTACTCCAGAAGCTGAGGCAGGAGGATTCCAAGTTCCACCAGCCTCAGCACCTTAGAGAGGCCCTGTCTCAAAATAAAAAGGGTTGGGGATGTAGCTCAGTGGTAGAGCACTTGCCTAGCACCTTGCCTAAATATGTAGCAGTATATTTAGCTACACGTTGGGTTCATCCCTAGTACTGTGAAAAGAAGAAGAGAAAGAAAAGAAGGAGGAGGGGAAGGGTAGAGGAAGGAGAAAGAGACCCCAGTGTGCTCTGAGAGATTTCAGAACTCCCCCACCAGCAACATCAAAACCTTAAGAATGACCGACAGGGAAGGGTCACACACCCATGCATCTTCTTCTAGAATCACAAGGTCACCTGAGAAATGGCCATCATTCAGTAGGTCCCTCTCTCTCTCTCTCTCCTAAGAGATTAAAAGGATGGTGGGACTCCTCTCCRTTGGCCTGTTGAAAGGCACTAACACAGGCATCCCTGGTGGAGCAGGGTTGAGCCTCTGGTCATCTCACCTGGGATCAGTGCTGACCTCTATGCGCTTTTGGTGTGTTGTCTGGCATCTTCCATTTCCCTCATAGTTCAGTTCCATTGCTGAGGGTAAACCGTGAGCTCTTTATTCAGAAATAGGACAGGCTAGAGGGAAAGCAGGGTGCATTTACATTGGAATTAGTGTTCATGTTTATCATAATATTTCTCTTGATCTAAAGTGAAATAACAGATTAATCAACATTGACTGTGTAAAGTGTGAAATGTGTGAACTGTTTTCTATGGAAAAAAAAAGCATTTTCAACAAATTAGTAAATACTCTCATATGAGGTTAACCTGATTATTCTGAACTTTATGCCCAATTCAAAGTAGGACATTAAATTTATAGGAACTTTAGTGGCTAAATTTAATTTGATCCCAACAACATTTTCATTTAAAAAAAAAAAAAAACTTTTGCTATTGTACACTGAGTGGGTTTTTTATGAAAAGAAAAAAAAGTAAACTTAATCTGTTTCAGTGAGAAAAATGTCATCAGTAGATATTTAGAAAACAGCTATCCACATATTTCATATGACTCAAGGGTCATGTACCATTGGTTTTTATATAAAAAGAAAGCACTTATGACCTAGTTCCCTCCTGACAATTGATTTCCTGGCCCTGGTGGGAAAAACATGTGTTGAGAGGAAAGGGACTATCTTGATTGTCGTGTATTTAAGTAGCCATGTCTTACTGAACGCGTTCAGCGAGACCCATTTTATATGGAGTCGGATGTAGCAATAATATATTGATCTGTTGGCTGTTATTTTATCCTTCTGTAATCAGTAATAGAACTAAGGAGCATTTTAATTCTTTGTAATATTCTTATTTTTTTTTCTTCTGTGGTGCTGGGAATCAAATCCAGGACCCCACGAATGCTTAGAACAACCATCCACCACTGAGCTACAGCCCAGCCTGATAATATTCTTTTATCATGCTAGAAGAAATTATTTTAGGAGATGAAAACATTCCTTGTGGTGGTTTGGTATGTTTTCTCCTGTCTGTGCGCCATCTGGAAGCCACATTTTAGTATTTAATGTCCTGTGCTGCACACGGTGTGTAATGTCTCTATTCCTTTTCCATCCGTGACCCTGGTTGTTAACCCAGGAAAAAGCCAGTAGAGTAATGGCTGCCCTTATTTTCACCCAGCTCTGCAAAATCAGTTTTCCAGAATGAGTGGGGAGACCCCATGAGGTGATCCCTGGGGTTTGTGAAATATGTAGATAGTAATAAAGAACTGAAACGTGGACGGCAAACATGTACATTAGAATAGACTGCCTGGGATCCAGGAAGAGCCAGCAATTGAATCACTAGTGAAATGGCTTTGTGGACACTTCTGCCTCCATTTAGAATACAAACCCTCTGACACACAGTGGTAGGGGGTATGCGACAAGGTTGTTGCTAAACATTCAAAGCTGAATGATTTTGCAAAATAAAACAGGTTATGCTCAAGTTTGAGCTTAGAAGGACTGTCAGCCAGTCATGTGTGGTGGTGGCACATACCTGTAATCCCAGTGACTCTGGAGGCTGAGGCAAGAGGATTGCAAGTTCAAGGCCAGCCTCAGCAATTTAGCAAGGTCCTCAGCAACTTAGCAAGACCCTATCTCAAAATAGAAAATAAAATGTGCTGGGGATGTGGATCAATGGTAGAGCACCTCTGGGTTCAATCCTCAAGACCAAAATTTTAAAAAATTTTTAAAAAATTTTTAAAAAGGACTCTTAGCCAATGAGGCTGTGTATGAATAGTAGGGCAGTTTTAGAGACATGACTCTCTTTCTTGTTATCTGAGCATAACATGTAAACTTAGGGGGTCTCAGAATGGCTGTAGTCCTCCACATCATAAAACAGAATGATATATAAAATCATATTGGGTGCTTTGTGATAATGTATCTGGCGATACACTCTAACAATGACTCTGAACCACATTTCAGTTAAGCACAGAGTTTCTTTTCAAACATGAGAAGATCTAGTGTGGGGGGGAGATGGTACATTGTAGCCAGCACTGCAGATCTTACTGATAATAGCCCTCAGTCCCACATGAGATGCAAGCCTATTTAAATTTCATGTTCTGAAATGTGGCCAAGTCCCTGTAAACCTGTCAGTTCACAAAGTGTCCATGATCAGGTGGGTGCCGCCAGCGTGAGCGAGATGAAAGCTTTGCCTGTTTGACCACCTGGTGCGGAGGAAGGGGTCCTCGGGCAACCCCAGGACTTGCCTGGCAGCAGCCGGGCTGACAGTGGTGAGGAGCCCAGACTCTATTAAGCTTTGCCTTGTGGTTCTTTCCCCAGGACACCTGGATGATGATGGATTGCCACATGGGTTCTGCACAGTCACCTACTCCTCCACCGACAGATTCGAGGGCAACTTTGTTCATGGAGAAAAGAACGGACGTGGGAAGTTCTTCTTCTTTGATGGCAGGTAGCACTCACTGTTTTGTTGTTTGTTTTGATGGGAACTGAACTATTTCACATGAAGGAATGACACAAATGAAAGAATTCCAGTGGAAATTTTTGTACAACTTATACAAAAGGTAAAAAGGTAACCCCAATATGTATGCGCTGCTTTGGTGGCTGGGATGTGACCCCAGTGGCTATCGGGAAGCCAGCGTCAGGTGTGCAAAGCCCATGATGGATCTGTCTAGGTGATACTCTGCCCTGCCAGATTCAGGGACCCCCATCTTGCACAAGTTCATTCATTACATGGTCACCCAGTTCTCTGATGGATCTCACCTGATCATTCAAGTACTGTGATGCATCTCAGTGAGGTCACACAAGTGCGGGTCACTTCTGTTGGTGGCCAGTTTGGGCAATTCCAGCAGAGACTGATTCCATTTCTTCCAAGCGTAATGTGCATACCTGCCTTCAGCCTACTCTGTCAGCAGTTGTGGTTTCTCAATTCGGCTGCCTGGGTGACTCCTTAGCTTCATCCTTTCCTTACATTCCCTCTCCTGACGAGGTTGCTGAAGAATTCATCTGGCAAAAACCATCAAAGCCACATCATCGCAGTCCAAGAAGTAAGACAATGGGGTAGACAGTGGGGTACAGAGCTCTAGACTCATGGTCCGCTAGATGCCTGCCTTTGGGATAATTGGTCCTTCTATGTGATACCGCCACACTGATGTCTGTGCTAGTACTTTCCATGGTTTACCTGTAGTCGAAGCACTTACACTTGCACCACCTGGACAAGGTATCTCACGTCTCTTCTTGCATCCTTTCATAAGGATGCCACGTGGCGGAGGCTGTTTGCCCTCCTGTGATGGCCAGGCATGACTGGAGGACTTTCCTCTTTGAGGAAGAGATAGGGTTCCCTGGGCCCCACTCTTCAGCAAGGTCTTCTTCCATGTCAGCTTCAGAAGCTGTGAATCTCTCAAGCAGTTAAARAAATCTGGAGCCGTGGAAGGGCCAACTATTATCAGACCCGTCGAGTGGGAAACACAGAAAAGACTTCGATCAGGTTACAGGAGCGTGTGGGTGATGGCACCCTTTACTACACCCCTGGCATTGGTGACGCACCAGCACTTTCTAAACTTGAGGAAAGGGGATGTCTAGGCTGGCAGCTGGAGGGTGATCCCAGGCACTGGCATGCCACCACAGACCTTTTTTTGAAATGCAGTGGGTTGATTTCAGAGATGGCAATTGTTCCTCCATTCTCTGATATAAGAAAGTGAGGAAAGCCATAAGAATTGACCCTAGGACTTTTGTAAAGTCTTATTTCAGGAATTGGGGATTTGGCTCAGTGCCTGGCAAGCATAAGGCCCTGAGTTCCATTCTGGGCAGTGGAGAAAAAAAGTTTCATTTTAATGACTAATGCCACCCTTTCCTTTCCTATTGTCCCCAACCCCTCACCCCACGTGATATTTATCAGAATTCTGCTTTCACACTGTCAATGGAAAACTGGCCAGGTAGCTCTCTTCTCTTCTTTCATCCTAATGGGAATGCCTACTGGAGACCTGGTCAAGGTGCTGGTCTCCCACGTGCCCGGCAACCTGTCCAGAGGGCAGCTCTTCCCACCCATTTCCACCGCAGCTGATGTAGTAAAGTCCTTTTCCTTGACAGTCCCATTTTACCTTATACTGCAAGCGTTCTCCTCTCTCTGCAATCACTTACATGAATGTCTTCTTTCGGCTGCTCCATATCCAAGGACAGAGATTTCCRCGGGACAGATTCTGTGTCTATAACATCTCTTATGCTCCATAGCACTTTTCCTTGATTTGATACTAAAATCAAAACCGTAATCTCTATTGCTGAGTAGGGAGCTGAAAGAAAAGTGTGGAATTCACCCAAAACATGCCCTCCCCAGGCTTCTCCAATCTGATAGTTTGATGATTATAACCAGTGACTGATTGAAAACAGCCCAACAGATTTGGTTAAAGTTGGTGATTTGGTGTTGGTTACCTTCTTGCCTCACAGATCTGATAAACAAAAGTACTGATGGCCCAGACCCAGTTTCTGAACCAGAATGCCAGGAACGAGCAGGATGTCGCCCCCAGTTTGCTGAGCAAGGCCTGAGCCTTCATGAAGACCAGGCCCCATGAGCTCCAGCCACTGACCCAGGGGGCCACACACATGCAGAAATCTGTGTGTGTGTGTCATGACATGAAAACTTCGAAGCACGGGGTCAGGTGGAAGCCCAGACCCTATAACCACCCTCCAGCTAGAAATAAATTCATTGACTCTTTTTTTTCTTTTCAAGGCTCCCATTCACCAATTTCCATACCTACCACTCAAGTATTGCCAGTCAGGGTGGTRCATGCCTAGAATCCCGGCCACCTGGGAGGCTGAGGCAGGAGGATTTCAAGTTCAAAGCCAGCCTCAACAATTTAGTAAGACCCTAAGCAACTCAGCGAGACCCTGTCTTTAGATAAAATATTTTTTAAAAGGGCTGGGGATGTGGCTCAGTGGTTAAGAACCCCTGGGTTCAATCCCTGGTACCAAAAAAAAAAAACCAGTATATTGTTGGCAAGGATGTGGGGAGGGGGGCTGGTTGATCTTCAGAGAGGCCAGGGCCAATACCCTGGGTAAGAGGGTGGTTATTGCACATGAGAATCTATGCTGCAGGAACAGGCCCCCAGAAGGTCACTGTCATCCTTCATAATCCCAACACATGTCTTGATGTGAAATGTCTGCTAAGAGAATTTTCTGCAAAAATTAGTGAGCATCTTATGACTGAAACAAAGGCTGTGGGATCTATTGCGTCTTTTAGGAGGATATAGTTTTGGTGGGGTGTGGCATACGGGAAGCCATTTATCTCTACAGGGGCAGCATCTCTATTTACATTTATCTGTTAATATTTCCTCCCTGTTACCACTCCTGATTATTAGGATCTATGTGTTGTTAAAATTATGTGGGGGTGGGGGTGGGGCTGGGGTGGTGGCTCAGTTGGAAGAGTGCTTGCTTAGCACATGGGAGGTGCTGGGTTTGGGTCCATTTATTATAATTTTTTTTTAAATTAAGTGGGACTCTACAGTCAAGGCCTTTAGTCAGTCAAGGCCTTTAGTCTTGAAATATTCCCTGCAAAAGTCTGAAATCAAGCTTTTGAAGTAAAGGTCAGGAAACAAAAGTTTTGTTAAAGAAACTTGCTTAAACCTCTAGTGCTGATCTATGATCCCATTAAAGGGTTTCTTTGCAATTGTAGAAACCTGTGTTTGGAAAGCAAGAAGGAAAATCACAAAGTGTAACAGAAGATGCATTTTTAGTCTTATATGAAACCTGAACCCAGATGTACAATCATGCGAAGGGCTCAAATGAATGTGAAGAAAATTTTAGAATCAACTTTCCCCTTGACATAGAATATAATAAGCCTGATTAAGAACAATAAGCATCCACATTTACAGGAGAAATGATCTTGTTAAAATTTTTAACCAAGTTCCTAGAGAGAAGCAGAATATTTTAAAGGTTAAAAATATAGCAAATGCTTGGTGGATTAAAACTCTTCAGAATCACAGAAATGT